GGGTTGGCAGGGTGCTGTCCAAGTAGGCCCAAGCCTGTTGTTTGAGGTCCTGCTCCAGGTCCACCTGATGCTGCTGCTGCTGCTGCGGCTGGTTAGTAGTTTCCTCACTGCGCTGGTGAAGAAAGCTACTCATCATCGACTGCAGACTGAGGCAGCCACTGCTGGTGGAGCTGCCACTGCTCCTACCACCCCACCTCTCCCCTGCTGCCATGGCAGCGGAACGCGAGCGCACAGGGCCCACAGTGTCTGAGGATGGATGTTGGCGCAGAAAGGCAGAGACCAACTGACTACATAGGTGGTTTTTATAGTACGTTATTTTGGCCTCCCTCTCAGCAGTGTGTGAAAAAAGGCCACCATTTTTGAACGGTAGCGAGGGTCCAACAAGGTGGACAGCCAAAAGTCATCCCTCTGTCTGATGGTTATTATTCGGCTGTCGCTACGCAAGCAACCGAGCATGCTATGGGCCATTTGTGCCAAGGAATCCGAGGGACTCCCTGCCTCCATCTCCACAGCATACTGCCACGGTGCATCTGGGTCCTCTGTCTCCTCCTCCTCCTCTACCAGATGCTCCTGCTCCTCCACTCCTGTCCGCTGAGTGGAAAAACCACCCATTTCACTCAATAATCCTGAGCACCAATGTCCTCCTCTACCTCCTCCTCTTCTTCCTGTCCTGCCCCCACAGGGGTCATGTGGTGTTGAGATCTGTGCGCCACGTCTACCGCACCCTGACCAGCCATTGTTAACAGCATTTGTTCCAGGACGTGCAACAGAGGAATGACGTCGTTCATCCCATAGTCCTGCCGACTCACGAATAGCGTGGCCTCCTCAAAGGGCTTCCTGAGCAAGCGGCAGGTGTCACGCATGAGCTGCCAATGGCTGACATCTAAGTTACACAGGGGAGTACCTTTATCCGCTTGTAACATCAGGAAATCGGTGATGGCCTTTCGCTGTTCGTAAAGGCGGTCTAACATGTGTAGGGTTGAATTCCACCTTGTTGCAACGTCGCAGATCAGGCGATGCTGTGGAATTCTGTTCTGCCACTGCAGCTCAAGGAGGGTGTGCTTTGTGGTGTAGGAATGGCTGAAATGCATGCAAAGTTTACGTGACATTTTAAGGATGTCTTGCAGTGGGATGGTGGATTTTAGGAACCGCTTGAAAACCAGATTGAACACGTGAGCCATGCATGGCGCATGGCACAACCTTCCTTGATGCAGAGCAGACACCATGTTCTTTCCGTTGTCGGTCAACATGGTTCCGATTTTCAGTTTGCGCGGAGACAGCCATCTGTCGATTTCTCTGTTCATTACACTCAGAAGTTCCTCCCCTGTGTGACTACGTTCGCCAAGGCATACCAGGTGCAGCACAGCGTGACACCGTTGCGCCCTGCACATGTGATATGCCGGTCGGGTAATGGGACTTGGCACGGGGGTGGCGGCTGAGGACACGGCGGAAGAAGAGGTGGTAGAGGCGGACATGTTTTGTGGACCAAGGACGTGCAAACGTGGAGGCAAAAGCGGCGTGACCTGTCCAAGTTGCTGGTGCGGCTGTGCCGGCACCACGTTCACCCAGTGGGCCGTAAATGACATGTACTGTCCCTGACCGTAGTTACAGCTCCACACGTCGGCGCTGCCGTGCACTTTGGCAGAGACCGACATGCTCAAAGACTGGCCCACCATCTCTTCTACATGTGAATGCAGGGCTGGAACTGCCTTTTTGGCGAAGAAATGCCGGCTTGGCACTCTCCACCGCGGCGCGGCACAAGCCATCATTTCTCGGAAAGGTGCTGAGTCCACCACTTGGAAAGGGAGGGACTGCAGCACCAGCAACTTGGACAGGAGGACGTTCAGCTTTTGCACCGTCGGGTGCGTGCTCGCAAACTGTTGTCTCTTGGAAACGGATTCCAAGAAAGACTGCTGACGGAATCCGTGAAGAGGAGTAGCAGGAGAAGGAGCATCTGAACGAGCGGAAGATGCCAACGAGCGACAACTCCCCTCAGCAGAGGTGTTGGAGCCTTGACTGGCTGATAGAGGGCGATTGACGTCGGGTGACGGAGCAAGTAACGGAGCGGGTGATGGAGCGGGGGCTGGGGCAGGCAGAACCGCCGTATCTTTATCACGGTTTTCCCAGGCCACCAAATGGCGACGCTGCATATGCTGACGCAACGCTGTAGTCCCAACATGGGCCCCCTGGCCACGCTTGACTTTCTGGCCACATAGTCGACATACGGCTACGTTTACTTCCTCGGGCGGCTTGACGAAAAATTGCCACACCGCCGAGTAGGAAACTTTGCCCCCGATACTCCTCACTGGCTGACTGCTACTTCCTCCGTGCACACCGGCACCACTACTGGCTGTGGTGGTAGGCTGCAGTGGAGCTGGTGCTCTACTCCGTGGCCGTTTGCCTCCACTGACACTGCTGCGACCCTGCTGCCTCCTGGGCAACCCACCGACTGTTTTGCTCGCTGCCAAGCTGGCACCCTCTTCTCCTGATGATGCGGAAGCAATAGCCTGATGACGACGAGGCTGCCAAGTGCAATCAGCCTCATCATCATCAATTAGGGTCTCCGCCTCACTACTACTAGCCCCCTCGGCTGCGTGTGGGTCAGGAGACAGACCTGTCTCTAGACCGGCTACCGAGCCACTCTACTCGCCAGTACTTCTTCGCCTGGCTGCTGAAGAGGCGGATGTCTCCCCCCGTTCCTGACCGCCCTCTGTTAGCTCTTCCTCACTGTACAGTGGGGCTGAGCCCACAGCATGCGATACTTCGCTTGGTGAGGGAACACCAAAGGACAGGGGCAGGTAGAGGACACGTGATTTCAGTGGGCTTGCTCCCGGGCCATGCCAACTAACGGTTTTGTCTGACGTACCCACCGACCATTGGCTGTAGGTGTCAGAGGTGATCTGGGAAGAGGAAGACGACCAAGCCAACCAATCGATGACGGCAGGGTTGTCGGTGGAGACACGACCGCTGGATGACACCGGGAGCACTGGCCTCTGGCTGCGACTAGTGCTGCCTCGACCCCTTCCTCTGCTGCCACGTCTGCTCGCTCCTAAAACATTGCCTCCTCTGCCACTCCTCTGCGTGTTGTCTGACATACTCTTTAATTAAACGATTCTGTGTCCCTGAGTAACAATTCTGTGTCCCTGAGTAACAATTCTGTGTCCCTCAGTAACAATTCTGTGTCTGTCCCTGAGTAACAATTCTGTGTCCCTGAGTAACAATTCTGTGTCCCTGAGTAACAATTCTGTGTCCCTCAGTAACAATTCTGTGTCTGTCCCTCAGTAACAATTCTGTGTCTGTCCCTGAGTAACAATTCTGTGTCCCTGAGTAACAATTCTGTGTCCCTCAGTAACAATTCTGTGTCCCTCAGTAACAATTCTGTGTCTGTCCCTGAGTAACAATTCTGTGTCCCTGAGTAACAATTCTGTGTCCCTGAGTAACAATTCTGTGTCTGTCCCTGAGTAACAATTCTGTGTCCCTGAGTAACAATTCTGTGTCCCTCAGTAACAATTCTGTGTCCCTCAGTAACAATTCTGTGTCCCTCAGTAACAATTCTGTGTCTGTCCCTCAGTAACAGTTCTGTGTCCCTCAGTAACAATTCTGTGTCCCTCAGTAACAATTCTGTGTCTGTCCCTGAGTAACAATTCTGTGTCCCTGAGTAACAATTCTGTGTCCCTCAGTAACAATTCTGTGTCCCTCAGTAACAATTCTGTGTCCCTGAGTAACAATTCTGTGTCCCTCAGTAACAATTCTGTGTCCCTCAGTAACAATTCTGTGTCTGTCCCTGAGTAACAATTCTGTGTCCCTCAGTAACAATTCTGTGTCCCTCAGTAACAATTCTGTGTCTGTCCCTGAGTAACAATTCTGTGTCCCTGAGTAACAATTCTGTGTCCCTCAGTAACAATTCTGTGTCTGTCCCTGAGTAACAATTCTGTGTCCCTCAGTAACAATTCTGTGTCCCTCAGTAACAATTCTGTGTCTGTCCCTGAGTAACAATTCTGTGTCCCTCAGTAACAATTCTGTGTCTGTCCCTGAGTAACAATTCTGTGTCCCTGAGTAACAATTCTGTGTCCATCAGTAACAATTCTGTGTCCCTCAGTAACAATTCTGTGTCCCTCAGTAACAATTCTGTGTCTGTCCCTGAGTAACAATTCTGTGTCCCTGAGTAACAATTCTGTGTCCCTGAGTAACAATTCTGTGTCCCTGAGTAACAATTCGGTGTCCCTCAGTAACAATTCTGTGTCCCTCAGTAACAATTCTGTGTCTGTCCCTGAGTAACAATTCTGTGTCTGTCCCTGAGTAACAATTCTGTGTCTGTCCCTCAGTAACAATTCTGTGTCCCTCAGTAACAATTCTGTGTCCCTCAGTAACAATTCTGTGTCTGTCCCTCAGTAACAATTCTGTGTCTGTTCCTGAGTAACAATTCTGTGTCTGTCCCTGAGTAACAATTCTGTGTCCCTAAGTAACGGTTCTGTGTCCCTAAGTAACGGTTCTGTGTCCCTAAGTAACGATTCTGTGGCCCTAAGTAACGGTTCTGTGTCCCTAAGTAACGATTCTGTGGCCCTAACTCTCTCCCTCAATACAGACAGGTCTGCCTCTCTTGAATGACTGGAGGCTAATGGAGAATTCTAAAATGGCCGCAATTTATAGCTCGACCATTGCACAGTGCTGGCTGGCTGGCTGCTGATTGGCTAATGCGATCACATGTCATGAATGAATGCATAATGGGTCAGCGCGCCTTGTCTGCGCGCCTTCCCAGAGATCCCCGCTCCGTCGCCGCACATGTCGCCGCCATTTTTGGAAAAATTTCGATTCGCGCATCCGAAGTCTGCTAATTTTCGGATTCGGCGCGATTCGAAATTTTCCTAATATTCGAAACGAATTCCACTTCGCCAAGTTCGATTCGCTCATCTCTAATTACCGGTATCAGTTCACAAATTGATTTGCTGCCTGGAATTGTTTGTTAATATGTTCACCACTTCACTTTAACGTTTACTTACCGTATGAATACCTTTCTGCCTGTCTTTCTTGATACTTTTTATGGCATCTTGGAAAAAGTTGAGAACACTTATAGGAAGAAAGCAGAAATTCAGTTTTTCCAATAAAGGTATAAGGAATGGACATAGCACTGCAAGAAAAAAAAAAAAGATAATTATTAGTTAAATGTTCTGAGAAATGGCAAGAGGTAAATTGTGAATAGGAGACTGGATAACATACTGTACCTGTGGTTAAGAACAATGGATTGAAAAAGGAGAATGTGAAAAGCTTCTTGGCATTGGTCACAAATGGATCATTGGGATTGTTCTGAGAATCCACATTCACGCTGAATGATGTACTTAGAACAATGTCCATGGTGTAGCTTCCAAAGATGCTGATGCAAATAACAAAGCATTAGTAGTCTAAAAATAATCTATATGAGATTATCCAGTGTAACTCAGATTTTATATTCCTCCAGAATTATATTGGCTGTGCTAAAAAAAATAAAATACTACATTAGCCAAATATGCATGCACCTTACCCATCCATCATTCTAGCCTTTGATAACAGAACTCAAGCACAATTGCACAAAATAGAAACTACCACCATCCTGTCTAGAACAAAATATTCAACTGACAACTACAGAGTCTTAAATCAACAACAGCAAATAAGTAATGAGTTATATTAAAAGTGGGTCCTTATGAGTGTGATAGATTTCATCAACATTACTTTTCTATGTTATTCAGGTTTAATACACAATATACTTACTCCTTCATGTTTAGAAGTTCTTTGTTATCAACTTTTTTGTGGACATTCTTCACTAAAAGGTCTCCATAGTTTTGCATTATTGGAAACATCTGTGAAGATGACAAGATATTTTTATTTTTTTAGCTACAATATGGTACCAAAGAACTAGAGTTTCAAATTTCCATTGCCAAATGCAGAAAGCAGAGTGAATGGAGGGTTGATTAATTGATTTGTAAAAGTGTTTCAATAAAGAAGAATTTATTCATAGATGCTCAGTACACATTCACTTCATTACAGCACAGTATAACAATGCTTTTTTAGGCTCCTAGTCTGTTGATCTATTTGTTTCAACTAGAACCACAAGCACTATGGTGAACTTGCCATGAATCAAAAATGTGCATTGAGGGCCCAGTTTCAAGCATTGTGTTACAGGTTTCTCAGACCCCTATCCAGCTCATTTCAGGCAGCCAGGTAAAAATCTGTTATTTAGAAATGATCACCATATGCTTTTCTTAGTTCTATCGACAATACTTTTTAGTTAAATTAAGGGTTTGTTTATACTTGCGGATGGGGGGATTAAAAATACATGGTTCAGTCATGTTTTTAGCACCGCTTTAAGATGCAATGGCAGCAGATGGGAGTGTTCACATGCCTTGCTTATGATGCTTCACTTCATGCCCATGGTAAAAATTATCTGACATGACACATTTGTAACCCAACCCATTTAGGCAAATGAGGAAGAGCCATAACTGTAGCTGGCCAGCTAAGACCAGTCCTAGGTTGTTAATATGGTTCACATATATGTGTATACCAAACCTGCCAATAACCTCAGTACAGTGTATATGTGCATATGTTAAAGCCAAAAGCAGAATCATTGCTGTGATTTATGTCTTTGATTGTTATATGACATTTCTATATTAATTGTGTTAGCAGAAGCAGAAAAGGAAAATATGCCTTTAAGAGTTAGTTAAAGGTGAGCCAATCACAGACAGCCTCACACTGTACAGAGCCTTAACCAATCCCAGCCAGTTTCACATTTATGCCTGTGTAAAACTCCCTGCTAGGATTTTCTAGAGACACATGCTCACCAGACAAAAGAGGAAACAGGCAAAGTTCCAGTCAGAGAAGCTTTATGGAAACAGAGAAGGCCAAATAGGTATTTAATGCACTTGTGTGTTCCTCTGTTGTTTAACAGTGCAGGTAGATCTGTGTGTAAAAACTGTTGTGTGTGTTTTACTTGTAGTTCCACCGAATTTACGAACTTACGAATCAAGTCACTGTAGAGTAATCTAACAAATTTACGAATCAAGTCACTGTAGAGTAATCATAATCGATACAATCTACCGAATTTAAAGAATTAATCTAACAACAAAAGCTAACGAATCTAATGAATCTATCGAGATAAGCTATCGAATCAACCCAATGTAATACGAATTAAACCATTGTAATATGAAAGAAATAAGCCATTGTAAGCTGTTATATGAAGAAGATTGAAATTATTAAAGAAGTTAACTAAAGTATTCGGTGTGCTCTTTAAACCTACTGCATGCATAGAGCGGCATTGGAGGAATTACAGAGTAAAGTCAGTCCAATCAAACAAAGAAACAGCAATTGCATAATTTTTCTAATGCCACAGCGCACTAGGCACCAAAGGGTGCTGCGCCTGCCACAATAACCGCCCCGCACCTGTGTGCAATACATGTGGATGCTGCGTATTTGGGTTAAAACAGGCGGAAGGGAGGCTGTCAAACGGCTCTGAAAGATAATCTAAATGTGGCTTGCTTTTCAGTGGAGTGGCAGTTTAGACGCAAGTCTAAACCTAGTCTAACAGACCCGCTCTTATTATAGCTTGGTCACTGGTTACCTTTGCATTTTGCTGTCAGAAAAGATCATCTCCACCTGCTTACAGATACATGTTACCTGACAGCAATAGGCATTTGTGACTGGTGAAGAACATATTTGTTGCACCGCTATTTTTCTTATTGCACTGGAAAAGATGTGGTGGGTTACATATACATTATGTATACAGGCAAGACTCACCTGTTTCAGTTTTCCACTGGTGAATGTAGGTGACAGCACAGTTCGTATTCGCTTCCATTGGTCATCTGCAGCAATTGATACCGCAGATTTTAAAGGTCCGCTTAGTCCAAAATTCTAAAATGGGTAGAATGTACAGGCGAGAGCTGGGTTAAAAAAGAAATCAGATTCTTCTGAGGATGAAAGAAAAGTAAACTCAGTCTGCCAATTTTCCCATTCAACCTGTGAATCTATACAGGAAATACTCCAACTGTCTTCAACTGGCTGCCAGTTATAGCTAATGCTATCCTTTATTCATTACCAATAATGCATGCCAATTGCAGTTACGTTATGGGGATCAGTAGAAAAAGGGAAACACCATGCCTGGATCTGTAGTATTAACTAATCTGAATCAGAGGTAAAGAAGCCAAAAAAAAAAAAGGATAGCTGATTGCAGCTATCTAAAATATATAAAAAAAACAAAATATAGGCCTTTAGAACTATAAACTCCCTTCTTCAGGTATTATGGCAGATATAATGTAAAAATGGCAAAATATACAGATTTTTGCCATTTTCTGCATTTTATCTCTCATAGTGTCCTGACTTGTACTTGTATTTTTTAACACTGTAGTTACCCACTACAAATAATTATTTTGACATTTTCCTTCTCTACCTCAGCATTTCAGAAATGTACATTATTTTTAGAATTTGCCATAAGGCCTCATGCACACAGAGCTTTAAAAATGTCACCAAAGCAGGTGTTCAGGAGAGCAATGGAAGAGCAAAAAAAAAAAAAAAGAATGCGCCTATATGCTAGACACATTTAGGTGCATCTAGTGTTTGTGCGATAATGCATGCCAATGGCCACAATAAAATGATTTTACTGGCTAACAGACTGCATTAATGCTCAAATGCTATACTTACCAAAACGCGTGTGCAAGCAACTTTTTCCTGCCAGGAGTTCTGGCATTTAGAGGGGCTAAACATACGCCCTGTGTATATGAGGCCTAACAATGTAATTTAAAAATATTATTAAAGGATTTATAAAATGAATAAAATAGATATGATAATAAGTAAAAGAGACTGACAAAGCTGACACCTTGGCTGAAAGAAAACATTATGGAGAAACACTTAGAAGCCAGTATTATTTTACAAACTGTAGTAAGTGCCATATATAGTACAGCCACTTACCCTTCTGTTGGTGAATATACTGTAACATTCCTTTACAAGAATGGCTTTTATGATTACTGGATCCATAATAGATAGAACTGGCTGTCTACCATCAAAAAACCTGCAGGAAAAAAAACATTTAGATAAAATATTAAGTTGATCTGTGAGCTCATGTCACATGAACTAGAGAAACTGATCCATTCAATACCCAGTGTCACAGGTACTGTAGCCTTAGTCCTATTGTATACAGCAGTGGTCAAATTTAACATTTCCAGAACTGTATAAAAATTATGATATGAATAACTCAAATGTAATGGTTCAGGCAAAAAATAGCAGCCAGGAAGATTCAAACATTTAATTTTCCAAGTGTCACTAAATGGTGAAGATTTAAACCTGAACAGTTGCTGTGATTTGCCTGGAATGGGCATTTCTTAAGACAATTTTTAGTATCAGATCCTGACAGTGTGGAAGCCATTTTGTAGGGTACTACTAATAATGAAAGAGCAGAATGGCAATTATCTTGAACTGCTGATGATATGAAGACATACATGTAATCCACTGGTTTAACTCACAAAATGCAGTACTTAGGTAACTACTACATTTTCAACTCAAGGTAAGTGCAGTGTATGATATAACTGCAGTCTTCTCAAACGGTTTGCCCGAAATCCAGAACTAATTTAGAAAAAATAAATATAGGATAAATGGAAATAGAAACCAAGAAATCATAAAGAACGGTACCACACAATCAGACCAAAGCCTAATCAGGCTCAAATAGTAGCTGAGACACAGCATGGATCTCCGAAAACTGGACCATCGCACTCAGCTTCAGGAGCAGATAACTGAGACACTAAAAGGATCACCGGACAACCGGCCCAACACACGCAGTCTGTGGTAGGTTCAGAAACTCAGTAACCTTTAAGAAAAAAAAATAAATACATACAATGGTTTAGGGGCACATCTGTATACATAAAGTAAGGTGTAACATTGATTGTACAAGACTCAAACCACAATTCATGGTCCTGTAGGTCTTACTGGTAATGCACCAGCAATGCATTTAGCTAGACAACTACTCTGTGACTTTTCAGGACACTATGCACATATTGGGCATTTATTGTCTGTAGGCACCTATATGCTGCCACTGATACTAACTGAGCACCAACACTACCATTCAATATATGACACCGCAGTTAAGCATAGCAAGGCACCGAGGCTGAGGCACACAACATATGTGAAGAACCTGCACAAAATACAAAAACAACAGCAAAGCAATTACAAATGTATAATAATACTCTATCATACTACCCTATCTATACAAAATTATCTCCCAGCTACTGATGATCTAATTAGAAAAAGTATGATTCTCACATTTTTGAATCACCTGAACAATCGGTATGTATTTGAGCTGTGCATTCCACTGACTACTGATCTTTTTACATGATCAACAACATGATGATATGTTGGACACGCTGTACAACAATATTTACAGGTATTAGATCTATTTATCCTTTTGATATGCTTAGGTTTTCACTTAAGGTAACGTCTTCATCTCTTCATTTAACAAAAGGAACAATTTAAAGGAATCTGCACTAACGGCTGTTGTATTCAGACAGCTGCAACAACCACAGCTGTCTGAATACCCTAACAGTGACTGCATCTAATTGGAAGCATTTACTGTTCAGTCAACAGTTTTTCACCCGACTTCTTTAATTTTGAAATTGACTTTTGTTGAACAGGGCCACTTAGTACTTGAGTTTCAACCTTTCAGCAAGAATCAGCAGAAGTTCAAGATGTGTATTGCCAACTTTGTGCACAGGGCTTTCTCACTTGTTGATTACTCCTAAATGAAAATCCTCAGATCTACACTATTGCCAGAAGTATTGGGATGCCTGCCTTTACATGCACATGAACTTTAATGGCATCCCAGTCTTATGCAGGCCATGCATGGGTCAAATTCCGAACAAATTTTCTTTAGAAAATTGGACATTTTGTGCATTTTGTAAACTGATGGTGCCACCATTAATTTTGAAATTCCACCAACCAAGCCTTTAATTTCACCTCGTGTTGCTACAGAAAACAATTTTCTTGGTCAAAAATTCTTTTTTTTCCAGGTCTCAGCTCATGCTCATTTCTTTTTCAGTTACATTTCTTGCACAATTTTCCCATCGTTGATTAGAAATTTGTTCGTTTTTTAAAAAATTTCCAACATACCCGATGGCTCAAATTCGATGGCCACTCGAAAATCATCCATTGCGGTAGCCCACTAATGGTGTGAAATTCGAACAAAAATTCTTAGAAAAGATTTTTGATAGAAAATTCTTTCGGAATTCGACCCATGTATTGCCATCTTTAATCCGTAGGGTTCAACATTGAGTTGGCCCACCCTTTGCAGCTATAACAGCTTCAACTCTTCTGGGAAGGCTGTCCACAAGGTTTAAGAGTGTGTCTATGGGAATGTTTGACTATTCTTCCAGAAGTGCATTTGTGAGATTAGGTGATGTTGGATGAGAAGGTCTGGCTTGCAGTCTCCGCTCTAATTCATCCCAAAGGTGTTCTAGAATATTTAGTAGCAAGGGAATTTCACAGATGGACTTATTGCACAGGTGGCAACCTATCACGGTACCACTCTTGAATTCACTGAGGGCAACCCATTCTTTCACAAATGTTTTTAGAAGCAGACTGCATGTGTCACGTACCTGATAGTTTGAATTGATCAGGTCAGTTTCCCTTGTATCTCCAACCCAGGCCCCACTGAAGGTGAAACCGATGGTGCCGAGGGACAGGAGAAACACAAGTGCCTGCGGATACTGATTGCAGAACTTGCGGCTGGAGGTGTAGCCTCGGTCAGGAACAGAGGAGATGTCGGGACAGCCAGCTGAGGTTAAGGAAGCACTCCACTTGAACTGCAAGATCTGGGTATATGGCTTAGCAGAACTTCTGATAAGCGTGAGGCTGGAACATACTGTGACAACCGAAGCTCATAGTCAGGACAAGCACTCGGCAGGACTGTAGAGCCAAACTGGATCCGGATGCGTAGTCAGAATAACAGCCAGGGTCAGTAACAAGCAGGTGATGAGGTACCGGAACATCAGACAGGGACGAGGTCAGGAGGAAGCCAGGATCAGAAACCGATGAGCAGAAGCATAAACAGAATCCAAGAGCAGGTCAATGGCAAGCCGGGTAAGTAACGGATAACAGAGGGGATACAGCAGGACACAGGAAATTAGCTGAAGACCAGTCAACACTGACAGAGTGTAAGAGCCTCCTTTAAATAGTCCATCTTGCGCTAGAAACTGTGGGCACGCTCCCGTGTGCATGCACCGGTGTGCATACATTCTTTTGCGCATGCGTGAGCCTATGCTCATTTTTATTAGCAATGTGCCTGTGCTCATTGCAATGTGCGATGTTGCGCATTTCTATGCTCCAGTCGCCGTACAGGAATTTCCTTACAGCATGCCTAGGTGCTTGATTGTATACACCTGTGGCCATGAAGGTGATTGGAACACTTGAATCCAATGATTTGGAGGGATGTCCCAATACTTTTGGCAATAAAGTGTATGTGCAAAACAGGCTAATTAATCTATTCACCATACAACAGTGAACCATTCTGCAGAGAACATGACCTTCAGCAGACCAACTTCTGGCTACAAGTGGCAAATGTAAAATATTCCTGCAAGATCTCATATTTATCTGATGAGAAAAAAAAATTAATAAAAATATATCTATTTTTAGTTCTCACATGCATATTGAAGTTATGAAAATATATACATTAACACTATATCTGCTATTACCGGTCTTGTAACATAGCATTTTGTGCACAGTTAATTGTATCCCCTGTATCCAGCACACAGAGATTTTTATTTATTGACTTTGAACTTCTTTGTGCAATAACAAACATTGCTAGTGGTCAGAAACACAAATTATTATTCCTGGGAAATCTGCATATTACCTATTCCTCACCCAGTTGGTGTATAAGGTTGGCAAGTCCGTGTAGAATCAGGCGATATACGCTTAACCTGAAAACTACAAAGTGCTTCAAGTCCTCATTCTATTTCAATTCCATCAATGACCACACAATCCCAGATTTCACCTTCCAAAACAATCATCCACACCTTGTATTGTTGTTTTAGGCTGAAACCTAGGCTGAAACCTAGTATTGAAACTAAACCCTTCAAATAATGACCCACACTGATTGAATACTGGAAAATCTCAACATTAAAAAAAAAAAAGAGAATAATAATAATAATAAAAAAAAAAATCAGTCTGTACAACCATAAGGCTTCCTGCAGACAAAGAAGACTCCAACACAAACAGCAGGGGATCCACTCACCGATCCCCCGCTGATTGAAGCAGAGCGGGCAGATGACAAATCCATAGCCATTCGGTTTCTGCAGTGTCTGCTCTGCTCTATGGATGGCTGGAAGTAAATGGACTCCACTGTCAGTTTACACCCGACTACCATCCAATCCACCTAAATGAATGAGGACAGATTCCTCTCCATTTCTTTTAGCGGACTGGATCAGACCCGGAGATAGGCGGGTATAAAAACAGACACAAGTCTGTTTACACCCACCTGTCCATAGGGATGAATAGACCATCTGATCAGGTCCGCCTCAAAAACTGACAGGTGAACCTGATCAGACCCACCATGTGTAATGGAGCCTAAATGTATCTCAAACATCTTCATGGCACCAAGTTTGTTTATAATCACGATTATGCATCTCGTAGGGGTCACCCCGGTCACTAAACCCAAATGTTTATTTTGGTCACACTTAGCCAGCTGGATTTGTGGGTGCCTCATAGATGTAAAGTGGTCATCCAATCCATGAGACTGTCATCTAATGTCTATGGACACCTGCAGCCTTCTATTAGACCCAGTAAGCAAATTTAGACCGGGACTCAAAAATGTACATTCTCTGTATTGTGGATGGAAGCAGAGCTCTACTCTTTCAAAGACCAGTGATCAGCGGTTTCTGCAATGTAAGGTATTTGGGTAATACATTAAAGAAAGAACTTACCCCCATATTTTGCCATATTTTTTAAAACATTCCATGTCAAATTCAGCAATACCCTGGAAAAGACAAGTTTACAAAAGTTTACAATTTTACAAATGACAGTTCAAAATATATAGTTTAAAGTAATGCAGTCATAAGTTAGAAAAAGGGTCTCCAAACTTTTCAATCAAAAGGACAGTTTTACTGTACATCAGACTTAGGGGGACCGGATTGTGGTTAGTGGAGGTAGAAAATGTCCCGGGACCAGGAACCGTGAGAACAAACATGGCCTTAGGGCTGGTGGTCAATAAAAGGAAGAGTATTGTGGAAGGAAAACTCTCCACTGTGGTTAGTGGAGGTAGAAAATGTCCCGGGACCAGGATCCATGAGAACAAACATGGCCTTAGGTTGGAGGTCAGTAAAAGGAAGAGTATTGTGGAAGGAATAGTAACCCATCGTTGGTATCAGTGGAAGAAATAGTGCACCATTGTTGGTGTCAGCGGGAGGAATAGTGCCTGGTATTCAGAGGAATAGTGCCCAAGGACTGGTTAAAGGCTGGCAAAGGGCCAGATCCGACCCCCAGGCTACAGTTTGGAGAGCTTTTGGCATCATATTCCACTAAGGAAATGCTAAAATTTCCAATGTTATGTACTGTACACAACACAGAGAAATTGGTTTAATTTCTTGAAGTCTTCTACATAGTTTGGTTTAACTACTACTACCGACAGTAGTAGAAGGAATTACGAAGGCTCTATTCACACTTTGCAATTTCGAATCGCGGGGAAAAAAAATCACAGTGATTACGAATCATGTGGCAATTGCAACACAGCGCACGTTTCGGCACCATTATCCTTCACCACACCATTAAAAAATCACCTGAAGCTTGTTGCCCGAAAAAGAGCAGGAGCTTCTTTTCAGGCGACAAACACACATACGCCAGCCCATTCAAGTGAATGGGCTGCCTAATACGACACACCCATTTAAGTGAATGGGCTGCCATATGTGACACACAGAACCGCATGAAAATCCTCACAGTCCAAATCACATAGCAGGAATACGGCCTTAGGGTTCATTTAGACATACGGGTGGTGGTGGTGGTACAATTGCATTTTTACAGCCTCCTAACCTCTCCCTTAAACTGCAAAGGCAGCAGTTGTGGGTGCATGTATGCCACAGTCGGGATGCTTTGACCAGGCATATGGGAAGGCGCAGTAATATGTAGAAGCATAGGGGTACATGTGGATGGGTAAGTGTACTCAGTACATCTTGCTTATTTCCATGGGGGTGCTATCAGTGACCCATAAGTAGGGGTGCTATGTGCTCCTTACTCATTCACATGGGGTGGGTGCACTATTAAGGCTTATAGGTATTGGGGTCATTCACATTGGAGGTGTCAGGGATCGCGTCTCCGTGGTCCACGATCGCGGCTCTGTCCCCCGCGCATGCGCATTGGCGGCAGATCGCGCCGGGACACAGGCACTAGGTCCCGGCGAGCCGCGGCTGACAGGACGCCGCGCATGCGCAGTAGGTGCCGCGGGCGCGCCTCAGGCGTCCAATGACAGCCGGGGGCGCGTCCTAGCCGGCCAATGACAGTGCAGGGCGCACTATTTAAAGATGCCCTGCACTGTCACAGATTGCCGCAAGGTCTTCCTGTGATCCTGAGTTCCTGCACCTGTCTAGTGACCCTGATTGACCCTGACTATGCTGCCTGCCCCTGTGATTGACCCGGATTGCCCTGACTTATTCTGCCTGCTCCTGTGATTGACCCGGATTGTCCTGACTACTCTGCCTGCTCCTGCGTTTGACCCGGATTGCCCTGACCATTCTACGGATTGACGACCCTGCGTGTGACCCGACTACTCTTCGCCTACCGATTCTGTACCCCGCTTACCCTCACGGGCCCACGATCCGTTACTACCCTGCTGGGGCCGCCATCCTCTTCATATCTGGCTCTCCCGGTACCTGTCCCCAAAGGTCTCCTCAGCCACTGGTGGGCCTGCTCGAAGGTCGTGACCTGGCCCGGGACTGTTTCAAGTCCATCCCCACCATCAGGGGCTCTGGTGAAAGCACAGCCCGGGCTTAGACCCCACGCTCTGAGTAGGTCTGTCAGTTGGCAGCCTGAGGCACCACCTGGCGGATCATAACAGGAGGGCAGTATTGTTGTCTCATAAATAGGAGTACTATTTCAGGTGGGGGGGGGGGATATAGTCTGCTTTTTCTTCAGATTGATTAAATATTTTGCCTGGTACAAAAAAATAACAAAATAAAAATGATCACCCATTCATGTAAATAATCACTTGAATGGGGCCACGCTGCAACATTTATGGGGAAGTGATATATTGCTTTATCAACGCCTGTCAAAAGTCTCTGAAAAGCTAAACTGATTTCAGAGGTGTGGTAGTGACAACCACTAGTGTAAACGTAGCCCGAGACTGGTACTGAACTGATTGGACCTTAGCCTTGTTCCCTAAGCACATACCATTCCTATTCATTCAATCTGTTGTTTTCTTGTAACCAGTAAGCCTTATGATATGTAACCTGGAAAACTATTTACTCTGCTATGTTTGATCTCATATATTTTAAGTTAATCATTGCTAATCTCCCTGATTAGTATGTTTGGCTCGTATGTTTCCTGTTCTATTCATAATGTTGTATAATTTATTTTCTCATTTTTCTGAAAGTTTTTATTTATCCAGGTCAGAAAAATCAAGAGCACCAACCTTGATTCCATTCTGGCCAATTGCTTATTGAACCTAACTGCTTATTTCTGGAGAACTGGTGCACACATATTTTAGTTTATTGTTCAAGGAAAGACTTTCTGGCAGGCTGTTTAAAGTTGTGTGCTATAAAATGTATGTTATTAGTGACCAAATGATGCACTCTAAAGCTGGCCACACATTGTACAATATACTTAACCCTTTAACTCCAGCACCTCTCGGCCCTTTAAGGGGTTTCTGATGCCGGAAGATGGGGAGGGGTTTATGATCATGTAACTCACAGGTAGCTATTGGGAGATTTCCATTAGGCACAGTTTTGTTTACATTTTGGTATGCAATCATGTGGTCTCTCGGCATCAAGGTCCACCCGCCAAGAGGCCGCATATTTGCATACTCTCGGCACGAAGAGGTGAAGATTTACCAACTATGATGTTTAAGGGCTGGCCAAAACAATACATTACATTTATATCTGATCAAGAAGATTTCATTCATTTCATAGTGGTTGGTAAATCACTAAGGCAGGCAATAGATGGTTTTTGTTATTTAATTTTTTTTGATCAGCCAGAGAGCTGATCAAACAAAGCTGAATGTATTCCTCCATCCACACATTTGAGGTGAATAGATAAATACTCCCAGCTGTGCCATTGCATTCTGACAGCAGGGACTCCCCAGAATACAGTTATCTGCTGTGCAGTTGCTGATCAAATGAAAATTTTCAAACCTCCAATTTCAACAAAAGTCAATTGCTAGATCAACTTCTGTTGAGCAGCAATGGCCATAGATGGAAGGAAATTCATCTGGTCCCTGCTGAACTGGATGAATTTCAATTTTTCTATGGCCAGCTTTAGACTAAAAAAAATAAACAGATTCCTCCATCTACATTGGACAGTGAAGATGGAGGAATTTGTTAAGGTACTGACAGGGCTCAAATTTCAGGGGATTCGAGCTGCAATCCTTCAAAATTCAAGCCACACATGGCTAGTTTAAAAGAGATTGTATAAATCAACTGGTAATGTGTGTGGCAGGTCTAAAAGAATGTATCATGTTTCCCATTAAAGTATCAATTCCCCTTTCCACAATATAAAAGTATTACTTTGGAACAAAACAAAAAGAGTCAAAATGTTTTATTTACATGTGCACTGCATTCATGTATATTTAAAACTCCTGAATTGCCCCATCCCTGTCTTAATTTCTTTTCGAGAACCCACTAACACTAATTATGAGATTCACACACCTCTCAAATTTAAAACTTAACCACTTCCAGTCCGGACACTTTTACCCCCTTCCTGTCCAGGGCAATTTTCAGCTTTCAGCGCCATCACACTTTGAATGACAATTGCGCGGTCATGCAACACTGTACCCATATGAATTTTTTACCATTTTTTTGAGACAAATTTAAAAAACTTTCTTTTGGTGGTATTTATTCACCGCTGGGATTTTTATTTTTTTTGCTATGTAAATGAAAAAGTCCAAAAATTTTGAAAAAAATAAGTGTTTTTCCTATAAACTTTTGCAAATAAATAATATATCATCATCCTGGCCAAAATGTATTCCGTTATCTTTTTAGTAAAAAAAAAAAAAATAAGCCAAATTAGTTTATAACCAAAAATTATAATTTGTAAACATTTTTTTTAAAATTTTTATGTTATTTATTTATTTAGATTATTATTTTTTTTTTTTTTTTACATACTGTCACCCTAGCAGTAAAGTGTCACCATGGTTGTTCCATAGGAACTATAAGTGTTGCATATACACTCAATGTCCACCATGGTGACACTGTACTACTTGTTGGGGGTGATGAAGATTTTTTTTTTTTTTACACTGATTGCTTTTACACCCATATAGGATGTAAAAGCAATCACTTCTCTTTCTCTCTATCTGCATTCTTGCAGCCATTGAAAACTACTGAGTGAGCTGTGATTGGTCACAGCTTGTCACATGGTAGAAGGCTGTTGTGAATAGCCTTGTACCATGTGACCATTCACAGATTTCACATGTAGTAAGCAATGATGTCACAAGTGAAATCTTGCTTACTACTTTGCATGTGATCACTGATTGGCCAATCAGCGATCACATGATCGGGACCTCGTACAGAGGTCCCGTCCGACGATCGGTGTTTCACTGTGTCCAGAGGACACAGCGGGCACCGGATCGCGGTGCTGCGCGCTCCCAGTGAGCGCGCACAAGCAGGATGCGGGGAGGCAGTTTATAAATGGCCACCTGACCCTGCAGTGCCACCGCTCGCCGTTTATATACAATGGCTGGACGGGAGGTGGTTAAACAATGTAGGGCTACTTTCCCTACTCGTCAAAGTAAATTTTACCGAGCTGTATATATTAATGTTCCAAAAGACAAAACCACTAAAATATATGTAGATAAACCGCTGAAATATACCACAATAAATGTATGCACCGATCGTCAGACAGGATCTCTGTACGAGGTCCCGATGAGTACCTTGATGAGTAGGAAAAAGTAGCCCTGCACTGATTACATTTTATAAATGCATAAATGCAGTACTTTTTTCAGGTACACCACAACACACCGTAGAAACAAGGGAGATTGTGTTGTCTTTACACTAGGGCTGTACTGGGCAAGGCTGTTCTGCTCAGCCCAACAAAAATGGTGTGAACAGGTCCTCAAAAATCTTCAAAGATCTAAAGTTGCATCTCAGTTGGTTTCTAACAGCTCAGTGCTCATGCACAAGTGCATACAGTGTAAATGATGACAGTATTTTGTTCCATAGGAACTATAAGTGTTGCATATACACTCAATGTCCACTTTATTAGGTACACCTGTTCAATTGCTTGGTAACACAAATTGCTAATCAGCCAATCACATATCAGCAACTCAATGCATTTAGGCAGGTAGACTTGGTGAAAACAACTTGCTGAAGGCAAGCTCTGTGTACACAAAGGAGCATGGGGGAGCTCTTGTACATAATGGGCATGGTTTTGACACAGCTCCAGATCCACATTTGCTCACAATTGATATGATCCAAAATATTTAAACAGTATAAAAAGTGAATAAAGCACCTGGACCGAATGGCATACACCCACGGGTCCTGGAAGAAATTAGCTCTGTCATTTCAAAACCATTGTTTGTAATTTTTAGGGACTCTTTAATGACTGGCATAATACCACTGGATTGGCGTAAGGACAATGTGGTGCCAATATTTAAAAAGGGTCAAAATCTTTACCAAGTAATTATAGAGCTGTGAGTTTAAACTTCTATAGTTGGGAAGATACTGGAGAGTTTAATAACAGACCACATAGATAAGTTCTGGAAAAAAATATTTTAAGCAACAGACAGCATGGATTCATGAAAGACAGAAGTTGTCAAACAAATCTGATTTCTGTTTATGAGGAGGGTAACCAGCGTACACACAGTGAAGGATGCAGCCTCCATTTTGTTAAGAGTATCCATGTTATTCCCTCATTCTTCCCCCCCCCCCCTCTTAGAGGCACAGTGACATATGGCAGCGTGTGTGTGGCGCGTGTGTGTGTGTGTTTGTGTGTTAAAAAAAAAAGTGTCACAGGCCAGAGCCAGCAGGGGGGCTATGAGCTATAGGACCCCCAAGGGAGCTGGGGCCTAGCTGTCCAAAGAACCTGTGCAATTTAACACCTCGTATAAGATAAGGTAAGCTTTCCCAGGAGTTCAAAGAACATTCCAAGGAAACACGACCAGATAACCTTTGTTAAAATCCATTTTTTCCCTATGTCTCATATCTTGGAATATGAGAGACTTACATAAAAACCGGACATATCGTCAGATTGGCCACGAGAAGACGAACATTTTGGTAGGTCACTACTACCTTGTCTCGAATACATAAGAAATCAGAAAAGTAGATCTCGTGAACCAGGCAGTGTATAATTTCATATTTTATATCTAATCAATCCTCAGACATGTCTGCATAATAATCTACCCACGGGTGGAATGTCACTTGTGCAGATGGAAAGTTATGGGCCAAAATATGAGTTATGGGAGATTTTGGCTCTAGTTGAGGAATCTGCCCAGACCTCCACGCCCTACACGGGGTATTGGTCCTTGACTTCAGAGACACCCCCTGCTGGGGAACTACAAAATGGGCTGTCAGGCCTAAGAGCTAAGTTGAAGACGTCTCCCATTTTAACATCAGTACCACCTAGGGAGACCCGTACCTTTCGCTCTGAAACTTGGATCTGCGAACCCAGGACTTTGGCAAGTACCTTAACCCTTTCACCTCTCTCTGATATCTCTTTGCTGTGCTGTTGGTCTCCGTATGTATATATCTCTTAGTTACATCTTTTTCTGTAAATATTTTTATTGCACCCGTTTGACCTTTTAGTAATAAATCTTTCCTTCTGAAAGTGTTGAACTGCGTCTATAGCTCTTTATTGCAATGTACGAATTCCTGCCTCTAAAGAGAACGATACGGTGTTTGTTTAACCCTCTGTATAACCGGCCTGCGGTGACCATGTTATACAGATGATTACTTCAATCATTATAGTGTTATAGCTGATATCGCCGAGTTTCCTCTTTCTCTGTACAAAAAAGGAGGTGGTGGCAGTGTGAAGGGTTAATTGTGTAATTAACCTGACCCAGTAACAAGTGCATTCAGGCTGCCAGTACATCGATTGTGGACCAATTAGCTGGAAAATCGTTGTGCAGGGTGCAGCTGGGTGTGGCATTGTTACGCACATGACAGCGTGGTTTTATTTTTTGCAAAAGCGTTTAACACAGTTCCCCACACATGGCTAATGTGTAAGGTAAAGTCTGGGGGCTTGAAAAAAATCTGTATGTAAAACGGATAGAAAACTGGCTAAAAGATCGTGTTCAAAGAGTAGTGGTTAATGATTCATACTCTGAATGGTCTGGGGTCATTAGTGGTGTACCCCAAGGTTCAGTGTTGAGACCCTTACTTTTTAATATATTTATAAACGATATAGGGTCTGGGATTAAAAATCCCATTTCAGTCTTGCAGATGACACCAAGCTGTGCAGTGGAATAATGTCCTTATAGGATGTCGGCAACTTACAAGCCAACCTCAATGCACTGTTTAATTGAGCAACTATGTGGCAAATGAGGTTTAATGTTGATAAATGTAAGGTTATGCACTTGAGGGCCAAGAATATGCATTCATCATACATACTAGGGGGGTACAACTGGGGGAATCAATGGTGGAGAAGGATCTGGGAGTTCTGGTAGATCACAAGCTTAATAATGCAATGCCAAGCTGCGGTTTCTAAAGTGAGCAAAATCCTCTCTTATATCAAAAGAGGTATAGACTCCAGAGAGAGATATTATATTACCCCGGTACAAATCATTAGTAAGACCTCATCTGGAATATGCAGTTCAGTTTTGAGCACCAATTCACAAAAGAACGTTGGGGAACTGGAGAAAGTACAGAGAATGGCAGCCAATCTGATAAGTGGCATGGAGGAGCTCAGCTATGAGGAAAGATTAGAGGAATTGAATTTATTCTCTCTTGAGAAGAGGAGATTAAGGGGGGATATGATCAACATGTATAAATACATCAGTGGTTCATATAGGGAACTCGGTGTAGAGCTTTTCAACCCGAGGTCATCACAGAGGACAATGGGGCACTCTTTACGTCTGGAGGAAAAGAAATTTAATCTCCAAAACACAGAAAGGTTTCTTCACAGTGAGAGCTGTGAAAATGTGGAATAGACTCCCTCATGAGTTCATTCTGGCCAGCTCAGTGGATTGCTTTAAAAGAGGCCTAGATTCTTTCTTGGATACACAGAATATAACTGGTTACTAACAATTATAGGTAAAGTTGATCCAGGGAATATCAGATTGCCTCTCGGGGGATCAGGAAGGATTTTTTTCCCCTGCAGGAGCAAATTGGATCATGCTTTGCTTGGTTTTTTGCCTAGGATTATAACTTTTTTTTTTTTTTTTTAATGGTTGAACTGGATGGATTTTTGTCTTTTTTCAGCCAGACTAACTATGTAACTATGCAAGGTGAAAATGAGCATCAGAATAGGGAAGAAAATGGGGTCTAAGTGACTTTGAACATGGCAATGTTGTTGGTGCCAAACTGGCTTGTTTCAAAAACTACTGATCTACTGGGATTTTCACGCACAACCATCTCTAGGGCTTACAGAGAATAGTCCGAAAAAGAGAAAATATCCAGTGACTGGCAGTTGTGTAGATGGAAATGCCTTGGTTAGAGGTGATTTATTCTTCTAAAGCAAATACACTTTTGCACACTGGTATTGACTAGTATTCCATTGTTTCTCTCTCTCACTCAGCTAATGTGACCCCAGTGCTGACAGAGAGGGGCAGGGGAGGGGCAAACAAGGATGTTGTGCTGGTGCCCGATGTCCTTCTCATCAACTGATGACATCATTGTTTGCTATGTCACCGACGGCTAGAAAGTTGTAACGGTGCACAATGAAAACCTGTAGCTTTGTGTAACTAAAAGGCTTGATCCACCTGCTGGCTTGTACACAATTTTTGGACAATTTTTAGACATTTTTCCAAGGCACGGCTGAAGAAAACTGAATGCCCCCCAGGGTGCCTGGGCAGCCTGGCTGAAAAAGGCTGGCTTAAAAAAACAATTGTGTTCGATGTGCCCTTGCAGAGACTGGTGTTTTTTCCAGTGCAGAAAAACACCAGTCACCGCATATATCTGAGCGAGACCTTAGATTTTAAAGGTTATAATTCTAAATCTGGTTAATAGCAAACTTTGATATAAACAGATTAAGATTGTGTACTCACATTTTTGTTTTCCAGAAAAGTCCCAATAAAAGGCAGGGGTTTAGGGCCTGGTATTCCATACTTTTTGAAAATTCTATAAGGCCAAATCCCATAGCTGAAAAGAAAAAAAAAACAGCAGATGGCAGATGAGAGTAAACATGAAAAGTCAGGTGTCAAAGGGATAAGAAATAAATGGAAATTTTCCTAAAACAGCAATAAAAAACCGACAGAAGTTCATCTGAAAGTGACACTAAACTATATCCTTATATACGCCCACTACTCAATGGCCCTGTAATCTATCTTTCATGAAATAGTTTTTTTTGCCTCCTTATAACGTTCTCTATGCTGTCAAACCACTCCTCTTCCCTTTCTGTTTGTTTGGAATGAGTACTGCACATATTAATTGTGATCATGTGCATTGCTCTATACACACTACAAATCCCACAGTCCGTAATCCATAGTATCTAGTCCATCTCGGGATAAGCAAGAGAGGGTGGCTACCTTCCTGCAGTGGGAACAAGGAGAATGAACGCAGCCACCCTCTAACATAAAGCTGGCTCACAGCAGCAAGACATTTGTAGGGGGGTGAGAGCAATAGATGGTACTTTTTGAGTTAAGAATATATACTTGATGCGGCCAGAAGAAGCGTTCCTATGTGTTGGTTATCCGCTATACCGCCCTCGATGTCCACTTTGTTTAAAATTATTGCTGATGTACGACAGATGGAATACCTGACTGCTATACATTCCGGCTCGACAGCTGTGTTCGAGGCAGTGTGGCACCCGTGGGATTATTTTTCCCCATCCCACCTTTCTCCGACTGTGCTGTTCTGAGAGCCTCCCCACTGTAGCTATGTGACGTTATTATGTTTATAACCATGCAGATTTTACCATCGATGTGCTCCTTTTTATTTTGTTCTCTTTCAACGTGTTCTTTTTATATGTATATATGTGAAAATCAATAAAAATTATTAATACAAAAGAATATATACTTGAATAGAATTTTATTTTTTTTAAACCAGAGATTAGAGTCACTTTAACCCTTCCCTGCTCCATCCAAAATTACAACCAAAGTTTTGGCTGAGGTTGGGTTTTAAATATATTATAAATAACTAGGCCAGCCCTCAAAATTTCCACTCACTTGCTCACATTGGACAAATGGAAAGAACATAGGGATAAGCAGCGCCGGCACTAGGGGTAGCTGAGAGGTGTGGCAGTGGGGGAAGTTACAAGCACCGATCTTCCTGTATGGCTTTCAATTAAGCAGCTGAAAGCACTGGGAGGTAGAGGCTGCACCAATCATTCTGTTTCTTTCCAGGCCCCCTTGTGTGCTCCTCAGTGCTCAGCCCCTCCCCCCCCATCCTCCAAATCAATAAGAGAGGAAAGGAGAGAGGATGGATCTGCTCTGCCTCCCCCTGTGCCCGCCCACATTCCAGTCAATGCTGTGCAACTTCTCAGAAGAGGATGTGTGGGTGGGAAATTGTATACAGATCAGCTCTGTGATGCTTCTGACTGAGCTTGTGAGCCGGGAACCATCCATGTGAGGCCGACCTTCCTTCCTTCCACCCCTCCCTTTCTTCCCTACTCCCTCCCTTTTTTGTCTCCCTTCACTCCTTCCCTCTTTGCCTTCCCTTTTTTCCTCCTTTGCTTCCTTCCCTTTTTTCCTCCCTCCCTTCTATCCCTATGTCCTTCCTTCCCTGTCCTTCCTTTCCTTCCTTCCTCCCCCCCCTTTCCCTTCACTCCTTTCCTCCCCTTCTTCCTCCCTCCCTTTTCTTTCCCTTTCCTCCCTTCCTTTATTTTGCATAAAACATTTAACAGTGCCATTTCATTAGATAATTTACAAGGTTGTGTTTAAGGATGGAATTAGGGACGGGGCAGGGTAGGGGTTGGGTGGGGCAACTGGTGGCGAGTAACTCTATACGTACAATTGCTACAGGGGACAAGGGCTTAAAGCAGAACTTCCCCTTTTAGGTGGAGCTCCACTTTAAGAGTTACTCGCTACATCCCCCGCTCCCCATTAAGGATTGGCACCTTTGGGGCGCGGGGGGAAGCGGGTACCCGAATTTGACAGGTACCCACTACCACTTCTGCTGCGATAGCCTAGGCGATCGGAAGCGGAAGTTGTCCTCTCTCCCTGTAGTCTTCTGGGACATGTGACAGGTTCCAGAAGACTACGGGCCATTCACATAGTGCAGCGCTTCTAGCACATGCACAGTGGGCATGTGGCTGTGAAGCTGCAAACTGTCACAGCCGGATGCCCACACTGAAGATGCCGGTGCCAGGGAGAGAAGACGGCCAGTGAAATCACTGTGGTGAAGACACCGCTGGACCAAGGGACAGGTAAGTGTCTGTATTTTAAAAGTCAGCAGCTACAGTTTTTGTTGCTGCTGACTTTTTTTTTTTTTCTATTTTTTTTTTTATAGGTGGAACTCTGCTTTAAGTCCTGGCTAGTAGCTTAGGACTTGGAATTTTGAGCCCTGGACTAGACCACTTCACTGCTAATTGCAGCACCTTCTGAGGCTTATCAAAAATAAGGTGTTGCTGCAGCCTGAAGTTTTTGCCCGTAGCAGCCAATAAGGATCTAGTTCCTAATTGTCCAGTACAGGTTAAAATATAAACACGAACAGCTGATTGCTGCCATGGGGAGTAACACTAATTTTCATTTGGTCCAGTTTTTACGAATGAGCCTACAGCTAACGTACAATTTCCATTTACAGGCTATCTCCATGCAATATTTTAGCAGGTATTTTCTCAGATTACAGAAAGCAGCATCTCCCGCCCTGTAGTGCTGCTGATTTCCATGTGTTCCCTCTGTACAGACATTACAGGGATCATTAAAGCACCTGCACTGTTTTTAAGGTTGAGGTTTCTCATGTTACAATAACGTGAAGAATAGATTACAGTTTATGGATTGCCTCTCCCTTCCCTGTGTTAATATTGACTCTGTTTCTCCCTGTAATTAAACAATGATTTTGTTGCCATAATAATTTTGTTATATAAGACAATGCTGTCCTTCAATCACATCACCGATACGTCAGTGACAAACTGTATACAGCCTGAATTCCTTTGCAAAAGAAAGACAAGGTCAGGGCAGTAAACCAGGGTTCACTATTGGACGTGAGTGCGTTTGTGACTTTTTGTTTGCTTTTGTGCATTTATTTTAGCGTTTTTTTCGTCTTGAGTTTAGTTAGATTTGCCAATGGAAATTTATTTACTAGAAAGAGGTGACGGTATCTAGGTGCACATTTTTCGGGGACGCAAATTAAAAGCGGTATTAAACAAAAAAAATGTAATATGTTGCAGTTTAACAATTAGATGTGGCAGCTGCATTAGTTTTCTTTTTTCTCTGTTTTCACATGGTGATCTGGCCATTAACACACCTTCTGTATTAAGAGTGTCCCCACTCTGGATGAAGGAGCACAGGGGGGGCTCATTTGGACAGCAGCATTGTCAGTCTGGGTGGAGGGGAGTATTGGATGTACTGCCAGATTTAGCTGATACACTAAACAATTTGAAGCCAAAACGCCAGGTAATTCATTATAAACAGTTACAGCAAACATTTTTTTCCCTTTTGGGATAAAGGTTTTACATAAATAAAAGCTGACATTATAAGCATCGCTCTCGTTGTTAAATGGTTTGTCTCATCCCTGTAACTTGATACATTTGCAAGAGAGCTTGTTCTTTTGAAAAACAGCATACTGACTTTCTGGATCATAAGATGAAAATACAAGAAAGAAGGCCTAAAAATAAAACTAATGCAGCCATCACACCTAAGAATTGTTAAGCTGCAATAAAATAAATGTTTGCTTTTGGGTTTAATACCGCTTTAAAAGTTTATAGAGGCCATAACAGGTGATCATGCTTCAAAAAGTTCCTCTATTTTTTTGAGCATTTAGCGACAGCACATTGCTCAGATGTGAACATGCACAATAGAATAACATAAAATTCTGGTGTCTAGCATTTGCGTTTCAGATTGCTCGATGTGGATAGGGGCTAAATGCTATATAACAATAATCATTGCGCCAATCTCATAAGCAGAGCTGACAGTCCTGTTTTTACTGGGCTGAGGCACTATTGATTTTTTTTTTCTTCCTAAAGGACGCTGTTTATTTACAGAAGTATCACTATCACTATAAGCCTCATGTAAAAAGTTTGTTCTAGTAAAAATATTCTCTTTGCCCGTATCAACCAGACAACTTTCAAATTTCATCATAAAGTGAGTGTTTATAAGGCAAGAGGAATATTTTATTTTTACATTTTCAATACGCGGGGTCAATATAATGCTTATGATATGGTACAAAATAGAATCACAAAAAATGCCATTTAAATGTAATCAGTACATTCTGAGATAATGATATACTCACAAAGTGAGAAGTGTCAGCAAAAGGATTAGCAAAATCCATGTTTCCTTGGAGAACTCGGGAAGGAAATACATGTTTTTATCTTCCTTCGTTGTTGGACCTTCCCTTTTATTTACTAGATCTTTCCCTTCTCTTCTGCACTTCTGACTGTCCGTACTATGGCAGTTATTGATATACTGTTTCCTGTACAGTGGTGACATCATACCGTAGGTGGAGATCAGTGACAGAGGCTGGAGGCCCAGTGTATGGGTGTGTGCAAAAAACAACAGATTCATGTTTTACTGTGAGCACTAAGCTTGGAGCAGGGGGGGGGGGGGGGAGGGGGTAGAGATAAGGTGGAAGGAATATTGCAGTGTATCAAATATTCAGTTTAGTGAAGGGGTAGGCAACCTTTTGAGCACAGTGTGCCAAAAAAATGTTTTCAAAGAAATGGAGAGTGACGGTTTTATTTTTAAATAAAATGTCAACTTCATACTCTCAGTCACAAAAAAGGAATTTTTATAAAGTAAATGCTGTACACTACTTGAGTAAAAGTGAGAAATGAACACCCTGTACTTTCACACCTCAGACCAGCCCCAATTCCTGCAACTTCATGCTTCAGATCACCCCAATTGCTGCACCTCCAGTCCTTGATCAGCCCAAATTCATGCACCTTCACACCTCAGATTACTGTACCCCCCTGCACATCTGTCCCCACCACTGTACCCCCCCCCCTGCACATCTGTCCCACCACTGTGCCACCCCTGCACATCTATCCCACCACTGTGCCCTCCTGCACCTCTGCCCCACCACTGTGCCACCCCCCTGCACCTCTGCCCCACCACCACTGTAACTAACTGTTCATCTGCCCCACCACTGTTACCCCCTGCTCACCTGCCCCACCAATAGGGATGGGCTGACGGTTCAAAGCGAACATAAGTTAGATTTGGACATTGGCTGTTCGTGTGTTCGCTGAACATTCAGCGGGAAGTTCACCCGCGTGCCCAAACAATGTAAAACACGTTTTGTGATTTGCCAAAGCTTTGCACCTGACCACAGGTTAAGTGCAATGCTTTGGCCAATCAAAGCTGAGTTCTCAGGAAGAGACATGGTTGGCCAAAGTCTTGGTGACTTTGGCTAATCATGGCTAAGGGGGGGTAAGACCACGCCCCACACTATTTAAGGCTGCTGATACCACTGCCTTGCATAGTGTGTGTTTATAGGAGCGGTCTTGTGCACTGTTATAGCAGCAGCCTGGTGCAATGTTATAGCAGCAGCCTCGGTGCAGTGCGATGGCAGCAGCCTCGGTGCAGTGCGATGGCAGCAGCCTCGGTGCAGTGCGATGGCAGCAGCCTCGGTGCAGTGCGATGGCAGCAGCCTCGGTGCAGTGCGATGGCAGCAGCCTCGGTGCAGTGCGATGGCAGCAGCCTGGTGCAGTGTTATAGCAGCAGCCTGGTGCAGTGTTACAGTTTATAGTGCACAAAGCACAAACATATTGCACTTAAGCACCAAAATCCCACCCCATACAGATAAATAAAGTGGAAAAATCCCCATCAAGTCCAAAAGGCCAAGAAGCAGAGTCAGATGCTCACAGGTAGCTACAGTATGAGAGGACAAGCAACCTCTGTGTCCACAGTGAAAAGTGGTGGTCGTTGTATCATCTGCAGACAGGGCATGCTTGTCCTTTTCCCGGTGCTGGCAATAATATTTAGCCACAACATGCAGAAGAGGTTGTGGAGTGAATAACTCAGCCATCCTCATCCTCCATCACCCAGGCTCATACTATTTTGCCTTCCATCGTAGCTGCCAAAGCGGCCTATTCCACAGGAACCTCGTCCACCACAGCTCCATCCATAGCTCCACCATCATGCACGGAAGAGTCACCAGAATTATTTGATCATAGTGTCAGTTATATGCTGCTGGAGGATGCGCAGCAATTTGAATGCTCAAGGAGCTTGGCTTTTTTTCGCAACACCAGTGGCTGCTGATAAAGGATGCATGCAATGTCCTGTCAGTGAGCCGTGATAATGCATGCATCAGTGACACTACACTATCCCTCTAGTCTTTCTGCTGGAGCGCACGCTGTGTGGAATCATGGACAGGGGACTTAAGGTCCATTTCTTTGGCACCTGCATGCTCTCACAGTGCACAGTATCCACCCCACAGACAGAGGGAAGAATACTCTCCCCGAAAAAATAAAAAACAGTTAAATAAAAAGATAATAAATTTAAAGAAATAATATAAGCAAAAAATACATTACAAAAACAAATCTGGTATAGATTGGGGGGGGGAACCACGCTGTTTTTTTTTTAAAAAAAAAAACATGTAATTTAAAAAAAAAAAAGTCAGTCCTGCTGCCAGGTTTTATACGTTGTACAGATGTGCAACTTTGCAGGTAGTTTAGGTATTTAAAGGAATTTAAAAATTTTTTTTTTTTTACTTCCAGCAAAGATGACTGCCCCTTTCAAAAATTGTGCTTTTTGAAAATGTTTTTTTTCACTGATTCATGTCCCTCAAGGCAGTACCTGAGTCCCCATACCAGTTTTATGGCAAATACCTTGCATATAAGCCTTCAAAATTGTCACTTTTGAATTTGCAAGTTTAAGTCCCATAGACTTGCATTAGGTTCAGTGTTTGAAACTTTCAAACTTTTGGTCTGTTTGAATGTTCTACTGTAAACCAAACTGAGGGGTGTTCAGCCCATCACTATCAGTTACATGCTGCTGCAGGATGTGCAGCAATTTGAATGCTCCAATATTGGTTCCCAGGATGAGGAAAGGAGTGAAGTGAGCCTAGAGAGAGGGGGTACCAGTGAGGGTAAAGAAATTGGCAGTCATGTTCCCCCAGCTGCAGTGCACTGCCAAGTTGGCTCCAGCGATGAGGATGAAGGGGACAATGAGGTCACTGACTGTACGTGGATGCGTGAGAGAGCAGAGGAGGAAGCACAACCTCAACGAGGCAGGAGCACCACCAACTGTTTGCCCACCAAAAACCCCACAATGCACTGCGATCCCCCAACAAAACAAAAAAATGAAGAATAATAATTTTAAAATAATATAAACAAAAATACATTAAAAAAAACATACCAGGCCCTTTAGGTCTAGTGGGAAAGTTAGAAGGGTCCCCACAGTAAAATTCTTTTTTTGTTTTTTTTTTTTAAAAGTGCGTGGAGTTCCCCCTAAAAGCCATACCAGACACTTTAGGCCTGGCAGGCCTAAAAGGGCCTGATATGGCTTTTAGGGGGAACCCCATGCACCTTTTAAACATTTTTTACTGTGGGGTCCCTCCTAACCTTCCTACCAGAGTTAAAGGGCCTGATATGGATTGGGGGGGACCCCACGCTGGTTTTGTTTTTTAAAATGTAATTAAAAAAAAAAAAGTCAGTCCTGTTGCAGCAGGTTCTATACATTGCACAGATGTGCAACTTTTCAGGTAGTTTAAGGGGACCCCCAGGCATGATATTTAAAGGAATTTTTCAATTTTTTTTTTTTTTTAAATTTAAGCAATGAAAAAGGACTTCCCCTATGTCTCACTGACACTTCCCTGCACTGCATTGCTGATGGGAAGGGAGTCACATGCCAGCAAAAATTTCTTCACGTGCCACTTCTGGCACTCATGCCAGGGGTTGCCTACCCCTGGTTGTGTGTGTCACTTCAGTTTGTGATACACATACAGTTTTACTATTTTTTGTAATGTAATTATAATATTTTTAAACCATGGTGATGTGCAAAAAACTAAACACCTAGAGTAGAGATATACTAAAATTGGAGCGTGGAAAATCTGATGTAGCTCTGCAGAGAAACCAATCAGCTTCCAGGTTTTATTTTCAGAGATGAATTGAACACACTGAAGTTATAAGTTGATTGGCTACCATGCAAAGTTGCACCAAATGTTGAGCACTCCAGTTTTAGTAAATCTGTACAAAAATGTGCATGTGAAAAACACAAACAAAAAAGTGCACTTAAAGTGTTTCTAAAGCCCTAAGGTTTTTCTTACTGCATTTTATGCTTTAAGACAAAAACCTTCTGTGCTGCACAATCCCTCCCAGCCAGGGGCAGACTGACCATTTGGAAACTCGGGCACTGCCCGAGGGCCCGGGGTCAGTAGGGGGCCCCATGAGATGCCCCTGGTACCTTTTTCATAGGCTTTTTTGAGTTTGGGCAAGGACACAGGGACCCCATGATCCCCTATTGCCCGGGGGCCCCATGAGTTGTCAGTCTGCCCCTGCTCCCAGCCCCTCTTATTCTTACCTGAGCCCAATCCGATCCAGCGATGTGCACAAGAGCAGTGGCTCTTGCCACTGTTTCCCTCCTCCCTGGGCCATTTACTCCTGCTGCTGTCAATTAAATTCTGTGCCAAGGGAGTGGGGGGGCAGGGCCAAGCCACCCGCTCTGTGTCAATGGACGCACACAAGGCAGCTTGGGAGCAAGCCTGCATGGATGCCCCCCTAAAAAGCCACCGAAAAGGAGCAGGAGGGACCTGAGAAGAGGAGGATCGGGGCTGCTCTGTACAATACCATCAGGTAAGTATACCATGTCTGTTATTTTCATTAAAAAAAAAAAAAAAAAACATGAAGCTTTAATGTCACTTTGAGGGTGTGCCTCTAATCCACCTTCTGAAGAAGTCAGACTCTACCCTGACCCCCCCCCCCCGGGTGCAAAGCTCCTGACTGGCTAGGTGAACGAAGTTGGGCTTTGCCCCTAAGGCCTGGCAGACCCTTCTTCTCAAGGCCAGCTGAAGCCAGCCCCTGAGTACTAGGTGGGGGGCTCTCCCGAAGAAGAACTCCCCAGTTCTTCGGATGAAGGAATCTGATTGCCACACATCCTCCCCCTAGGCTTCACAGTAGGCCTGAGGACCCACACCCTCCATCTCAGTGAAAGAAACAGACAAAAAAGTTACAAACTCATGAAGAAAAATAAATTAAACAGTGCCAGTGCAGGTACTAAGCCTTGCAGCCTGGTAGCAAACATTGTTTGCAGCGCGCCAGAGAATGCAGCAAATCAGGCAAAGCATTGCATGTCTTTTCTGCAATAAAAGCATGAATGACGGTTACAGCGCAGTTATCCAGTTCTGCGAGGGCGTCATATGACATCCTCCCAGAACACGCCCTCCCGCGTTACCCTGGGGGCGTGCACCCGGAGATCTCTTACGGACACAGCTGATCACGTGATGTGGTAAATGGCCAATCACAGCGGCCTTTTACCACGTGATCAGCTGTGTCCAATGACACAGCAGATCACT